AAAATCTTTAAAAAAAAAAAAAAAGAACCCCAAACAATCCAATTTAAAAATGGACGGTAGAGGAGGAGGAGTTAAGATGGCAGAAGAGTAGGGGACCCTAAGTTCATCTGGTCCCTGGAATCCAGCTAGATAGTTATAAAAATCATTCTAGTTCGGCAAACACCACAGCTTGCTGCCCTGGTGCCATCGCCCCCTGAGCTCACCAGGTGAATCAAAGACAAGCCTGTTTTCCCAGCATGGGGAGCTGCATTAGGTTCTGCTCACAAGCACGATGGTGAGCAGCTGTTAGGAGCTTCAGAAACATCCGGGGAAGTAGAGCAATATTCCGCCACACCATACTAAGATATCACCCATTTACTGCTTTTCTAGGAGACAAAAATTCAAGAATTATTGGCATTTCTGTTGCCAAACCTTTGACCTCAGGCCATGTCAGAGAGGTATTTGCTCCTCTCCTCTACATGTCTGTAACCTCATTAGGGGAAACAACTAATAAATATATATACTGAGCTTATGAGTATATGAGCAAACTCAAGGGTTAAATGAAGCCTGCCTTAGCCCTGAGGCTCAGCCAACGCCTACTGCCAGATCAGTGGCAGGGTGGGAATGACGTATCACGCATTTACTGCTTTCCTAGGAGACAAAAATTCAAGAATTATTAGCATTTCTTTGACATACAATTATCCATTCCTCCATTCACTAATAACTAATAAATATATATACTGAGCTTATGAGTATATGAGCAAACTCAAGGGTTAAATCTGAGATGAGATAGCTCCTTCCCATTAACTTTTAAACTTGCTCGAATTTCAAGGAATTGAAGATTTTAAAAAATCCCTCCTTGGTCTCCTCATCAAAGTTCCAGAAAGAGTTTCCTACATTTCTTGTTAACATTCTTTACTTCCCTCTAACTCTTCCTTCCACTGCACTACGGCTCTGTCCCCATGATTGCAGTGAACATGGTCTCACCAAGGTTACAAGCCACTTTTTGTCACTAGGTCCACTAATTTTGTATAAAACTATAAATATATGAATATTACTTTTAATGACCACCTAAAACACTCATGCTTGTGCAAACTGCTTCTGTCACTTCACAAATCTGAGTTTCCAGGCTCTAGACCATGAAGTACTGTACAAACCCAAGCTGTACTACTCCCTAACTGTGCAGGCCTGGGCCAAATCCTTATTCTCTCTGTACCTCAGCTTTTCATCTGTAAAATGGGGATTAACAACATATCTAACTCTTAATAGTTCTGTGACCATAAGTGACTCAATACATATTAAGTACTTGTTACATAATACCTTTTAGTCATTTTAATGTCTTTGTCTCTATCTTTATTGGCCATTAGTATCTCTACTATCCCTATGATATACACTAACGTTTATTAACAATCAATGACCTCAGAGGTACGTAGTTAGAAGATGAGCAGGTCGGGGCGCCTGGGTGGCTCAGTCGGTTAAGCGTCTGTCTTCAGCTCAGGTCATGATCCCAGGGTCCTGGGATCGAGGCCCACGTTGGGCTCCTCTGCCCTCTCCCTCTGACTCATGCTCTCTCTCTCTCTCTCTCTCTCGTGCTCTCTCCCTCTCTCTGTCAAATAAAGTCTTAAAAAAAAAAAAAGATGAGCAGGTCACAAAACTAAATGTAGGATGAGACCTTTTGTACCTGAATACATGCATATGTGCATAAATGTGTTAAGTACCAGCACAAGAGAATGTCTGAAAGGATATAATGCAGATGAAAACCTTAGCAGGGCTTTTCTTCTGGTGGTTATGTTTGAGGGTAAAATTATTCCCTTTTTATGTTAATTGTTAGTATTTTTTACATTATCTAATTTTTACCTTGCAATAAATACTCTTGCATTTATACAAAACAATGAAACAGCAGTAAAATTTAAGCATTCTCAGCCCACCTACAGGAAAGCCATCAGCTTAAGAACAGGGACATCCCCAAGGCACAGGACATCCCCAAGGCACAGGACGGGAAAGAAGATACTGGGGGAGCCCCTTCTACAGTAAAACAGGACATAGTTCCCCAAATTCCAAACTATGGTAATTATGATCAATACTTTAGATCTCTGCTTAGTTAACTGCGGAAAAACATGGTACCCTAATTTGTTTCATTTGTCTTCGCTCTGATTAAAAGTAAGGTTGACAGTCTTATCATATGAGAGGCAGTATCGTTCACTGGTTAGATGAAGTGACTCAGGAGCCACAAGCCCGTGTTCTAATGATTTACTAGCCCTATCCTCGCTGTGCCTCAGTTCCCTGGTTTCAAAGTCCAGCAACAGTAGCTCTACTTCATAGGTTGTGGTGAGGATGAAATAAGTGAAAGCTTAGCACTGACACCACCAGTATGGGGCACTGAGGGAGTCAGAAATATTAATCTTTCTTATCATTCTTATCATATCAGAACGCAGTAGAGATTCTACTGACATTTTTATTACTATATGGATGTACACCAATTGGCATGGATTGATCTTCGTAATATATTTGTTGTAAAAAAGCAGTTTACAAAACTGTTAAGTAGGATATTCTTTCATTTCTGTTATTAAATATACAGTGACATACCATAAAATTTCTGAAAAAACATATATTCAAATGATAACAGTGGTTACTCATGAGTAGACTTTTAAGGGTTCTTAACAATCTTTTCATCTCCTGCATTTGCATTTTTATCTACAACAAAAATGTCTTGACGGGCACCTGGGTGGCTCAGTCGGTTAAACATCCAACTCTTGATTTCGGCTCAGGTCATGATCTCAGGGTCATGAAATCAAGCCCCAGGTCGGGCTCCATGCTCAGCAAGGAGTCTGCTTCTCTCTCTCTCTCTCTCTCTCTCTCTCTCTCTCCTTCCTTCTCCCTCTGCCCTGTCCCCCATTCATGCTCTCTCTCTCTCTAAAATAAATAAATAAATCTTTTAAAAAAAATGTCTTGATTTTGGAAGTAAAAGAAATATATATCCTTAGCCCTTCCCATAAGAAAGTGGTCCAGGATCAGAATGGGTAATATCACTAAGCCAAGGGAATTAGGTAATAGGATGGTCTTAGAACTAATTTAGTAATCTACCACATGACAGTTCCAATAGGGTGTCTTTGGGAAAATTACAGATGCCTAGGGGAAAAGCAAGCATGTTGCTCATATAAGCCTTTCATTCTACACACAATGTTTCTACTTTTATTTTCACAACATGCTTCTCTTATCTCCCAAATAAAGCCCCCTGAGTGGAAAGCAGGCCCATGTGTTTAACCTCCCAGTTAGGGAAGCATTAAATAGTAAAAGGAAAGGAAAATATACAGGTGTCCAGCACTTGTAATAGAAATCAGCCCAAGTTCAAAATGGAATGCATCCCTAAACCAACCTAGGGATTTGGTCATTAGTCTGTACACAGGAAAACAAACTCCCTACAATCACTGTCTTCTTTCACCAGAGTGGCCCAGATTAGATTCCAATCTACAGGCCTAGATGAGTAACAGTGTGAATGAAAGCCAGAAAATTAGGCCTGGATAAACAGGAAGATGCTTTGCATTTAGGATACATTCAGGTACTGTTTCACAGTAGCTGGCATCTAACAAACTCTAAGACTTTGAACATAACACACAAAAAAGTAACTGAAAATATTATGTCTGAAATCTATTCATGCTCCTTATAACATATAATCTGAGAAAATGAGTGTGTCTATTTTTAGAAGCTTGGAAAGAAAATACATAAATACATATAGCAAGGAGGCTTATAAGGCAGGTCACACTGTTGAAATGTGAATGTGGATTAGTTTTTCTCATATTTCTTCCTTTTTACTTTCGATGAGACAGCCAAGCATCTATGGATAAACATATGCAACAATACCATATTTTTTGTAAAGAATATATACATATGTAATAAAACTATAGAGAAATGTATTAAGAATGAAAAATCCAATGTTTTGTTAGTAGTTACCCCTAGGTAAGAAGGAGACTAATGCAATCAGAAAAGAATTCAAATGAGATATGTAATGTTTTATTTCTTAGTATGAGTATACTGAACTCCATTATATAATTTCTATAATTTTTTGTATGTGGGAAATACCATGACAATCACTGCTCGATGAGTTTATATATGCTGTAAGCAATGATCCATACTAATTTGAAAATTTTGGCAAGCACGGTTAATGCCAGTGATACATATGTAATTAGTCAGCAAACCAACCACCCATTAATATAAAAAATATTGTCAGGGGCACCTGGGTGACTCAGTGGGTTAAGTGTCCGACTCTTGATTTTGGCTCAGGTCATGATCTCAGGGTTGTGAGATCGAGCCTAACATCGGGCTCCATGCTGGACATGGAGTCTGCTAAAGATTCTCTCTGCCCCTCCCCCCACCCTCTCTCACCCCTCCTCCCTCTCTAAAAAAAGATATTGTCACATTTGTTCATTTCCTCCCATTATATTCTCTATGCATGCATATATAATGTATATACATCACATGTGGGTTTCCTAGATATGAAGACTCATAATTTGCTTTATGAAGATCATGAAACCAGCAATTAAACATGCCCAAGCTTACATCACACTCCACAAAGCCCATGTCCCTATCCATTGGGACATATAATCTTTTTCTGTGTCAGGGCTGAGGTCGGCAAAGAGGAAGTGACTACCGATGGTCCTGTAGGCAAGAATTTAACTGATATTTTGGATGCAGGTCTCCTGTTCCCAGTCAGTTGTGTTGCAGACCCATCTTCATACTCTCTTATTCTGTAGTTTCCTTTCTGGAGATCAATGGGGCCAGCTATTCCAATGTCAAAATGGACAATAAAAAAGAAAATCAGAAAGTAAAGATCAAATAAAAATTTGATGAGAAGACGAAGTAAAAAGAGAAGATGATATGCTTCCTCTTTCCCATCATCCCCAAGTAATTCATCCTACAAGAAATGGTACCAAATCCTACACATAACATAAAGAAAATAAAAAAATATCTCATTACTTCAAAAACCATGAAAATTTCAACTTGAATGAGAAATGACAGTCAACATATAAAAACAAGATGCCACAGATGTTGGAATTATCTGATAAGGATTTTAAAGTAGTCATTCTCAAAATGCTTCAAAGAGTAATTATAATTATACTTGAAATAAATTAAGGAACAGAAATTCTCAGGAAAGAAATAGAAGATATATAGAAGAATAGTATCAATATTTTAGACCTGAAACACACAATAACTGAAAATTTTAAAACTCAGTGGATGGACTCAACAACTGAATGGAGAGGAAAAAGAAAAGAATCAATGAACTTGAAAACAGAACAATATAAAGTACCAAATTTGAGCAACAGAGAGAAAACAGATTAAAAACAAAAAAAGACAATGACAACTCAGGGACCTGTGGGACTATACAAAAATCTGAAATTAGTGACATGGTTATCTTAGAAAGAAAGGAGAAAAGGTACATGGATAAAAAGTATTTGAAGAAATAAAGGCTAAAACCATGTAAAATATTACAATTCATATTAAGGGGATTTGATACTATCTAGTAAAATTACTAGAATATTTGCTCTTGGAACCAGCAATTTATCTTCTAAGAATCTATCCCAAAGATACCATGCAAAAAGACAAAAAAGCGTAAGTACAAGGCCATTACTAGCAAAACAATCATAATAGTAGAAGATAAGAAACAAGACAAATGTCTACCAATAGTGAACTGGTTGAATAACCTATAGTACGTCTACATCCTAGAGTACAATGCAAGTATAAAAAACATGAGGGAAAGATGTGGTATATATATGTATATATAATGGAATATTATTCAGCCATTAAAAAGAATGAAATCTTGGGGTGCCAGGGTGGCACAGTCAGTTAAGCACCCGATTCTTGGTTTCGGCTCAGGTTGCGATCTCATCGTCATGAAATCGAGCTTCTTGTCGGGCTTGTCTGGTTCAGATTCTCTCTCTCTCTCCCTCTGCCTCTCCCATTTGTGCTTTCTCTCTAAAATAAATAAATCTTTTAAAACAAGAATGAAATCTTGCCATTTGCAATAACGTGGATAGTGCTAGAGAGTATTATGCTAAACAAAATAGTCAGAAGAAGACAAATACCATATGATTTCACTCATATATGGAATTGAAGAAACAAAACAAATGAGCAAAGGAAAAAAGAGAGAGAGAGAAAGAAAAACCAAGAAACAGACTCTTAACTATAGAGAACAAACTGATGGTTACCAGAGGGTATATGGGGTGGGTGGATGAAATAGGTGATGGGATTAAGGAAGGCACTTGTCATGATGAGCACTGGGTGATAAATGAAATTGCTGAATCACTATACTGTACAACTGAAACTAATGTAACACTATATGTTAACTAACTGTAATTAAAACTACATAAAAAGTTAAAATTAAAAATAAAAAGCATGAGGGATTCCTCCTGGCCAAAGGTAACAGAATACAAAGGCCCAGACCTTGTTTCCCCACAGAGACAATAATGTAACAATATGCACTCCAAAAGGCCTTTATGAGAACCCCAGAAACCAGTTAAAAAGTTGTTATACCCTAGAAATCACAAAACCAAGAAGAACTACATTAATACAGGTAAGAAAAGCCACTGCATTTTACCCACATTAGCCCCTCACGCAAGCCAGCACAGCTCAGAGCAACTGGGGGAAAATACCCAATTTGCAGTTTCTCCTTCAAGAGCAAAAGAGAAGAGTGATACGTACATCCAAGGTTCTGGCTTTTTAGGGGCTTCCCAAGGGACTGATTTCTGTGTCATCTGACCCAAAATGCTGACAGGGGCCAATGAGAGCAAATGAGAGCTCTGTAGCCTAATGAAGAACCAGAGAACCTGCAGTACCACAGACCAGAAGGAACAAGAGATTCCGAGCTCAGAAAAAAAAAAAAGCCAACAAGTCACTCTGATTGGGAAATTACATGAACAAGCCCAGAGAAAATGCACCCCCAAAGAAGATTTGAGAGGTTCCCCATAATTTCTAGCCAGGCTGACTGGTAAAGATCTTCCTCTGTAAAAAACCAGTCCATAAAGACTGGGAAAGGAGGCTGCTTTTTCAAATGTATAAATCTCATCAAAAAGTAACAAGGCATACAGAGAAATATGACCCAATCATATTTCCAAAATAAATCTTGGAAACTAATCATAAATACATAAATAGCTATGAATTATTTGACAAAAAAATTCAAAATACTCATCTGAAGGAAGTTCAGTGAGTTACAAGAGAACACAGACAACTAAACAAAATCAGAAAAAGAAACATGATCAAAATGAGAATACCAGTACAGAGACAGAAACTACACAAAAGAACCAAACCAAAATTCTTTGGCTGAAAAACACATGAATTGAATTGAATTGAATTGATTATGGTATTGCATAGATCTCCTTTAATTCTAGTATAATATTTAAAAGATAAAAGAATAAAAATAATTATAACTATAAAACTACATTAATGGATACAAAATATAAAAAGATGTAATTTGTGACATCAGTAACAAAGTGGGGGGGGACATAAAGGAGTAGAGTTGTTATATGCAATTGAAATTAAGTTTTTATCAGTTTAAAATAGACTGTTATAACTATAAAGTGTTTTATATAATCTCCATAGTAAACACAAAGAAAATACCTAGAGAACATACACAAAAGGACAACAGAAAGCATATCACAATAAAAAAATCAATAAAACACAAAGAAAGCCTGGGAGAGAGGAAAAGAGGAACAGAATAAATGTAAGATACACACAGAAAACAATTAACAATGTGGCAATAGTAAGTCCTTCCCTATCAGTGATTATTTGTTTAAGATTTTATTTTTAAGTAATCTCTACACCCAATGTGGGGCTCAAACTTAAACCCTGAGCTCAAGAGTCGCACTCTCTACCAACAGAGCCAGCCAAGTGCCCCAGTAATGATTTTAAATGTAAATGGACTAAACTCCCCAAAAGATATAGAGCACCTGAACCGATAAAAAAAAAAAAAAAATAAGCCCAACTGTATGCTGTCTTTAGATATAAGGATACCCATAGGCAGAAAGTGAAAGGATAGAAAAAGATACTCTGTGCTAATTGTAACCAAAAGGGAGTAGGGATGACCACAGTTAAATAAGAAAAAATAGACCTTAAATCAAAATTGTCACGGGAGATATATAAAGATAAAAAGGTCAACAGGATGTTATAACAATCATAAATATTTCCACCAAACATCACAGCACTCAAATATATGAAGCAAATGTTGACAAAACTAGAGGAAGAAATACACAGAAGCACAATAATAGTAAGAGATTTCAATAGACCACTTTCAATAATGGATAGGAAAACCACACAGAAGATCAATACGGAAAGAGGATTTGAACACTATAGATTAATTGCACCTAACAGATATATTAAGAATACTCCAACCAACAACAGCAGGATACACATTCTTCTCAAGCACATATGAAACATTTTCCAAGACAGATTATGTAGTAGGCCACAAAACAAATTTTTAACAAGTTTAAGAAGGTTGAAATCATACCAAATATCTTTCCTGATCACAATGGAATGAAACTAGGAATCAATAGCAAAAGGAAAACTAGAAAATTCCCATTATGTGGAAATTAAACAATACACTCCTGAACAGCCAATATGCCAAAGAAGAAATCAGAGGAAATTAGAAGATATCTTGAGACAAATGAAAATGAAAACAAAATGGGATGCATCAAAAGCAATACTAAGAGGGAGGTTTATGGGAATAAAGGTCTACTTCAAAAAAGAAGATCTCTAATCAAAGACCCACCTTTACACCTCCAGGGAATGGAAAAAAAGGAACAAACTAAACCCAAAATTAACAGAAGGAAAGAAATAAAGATTAGAGCAGAGATCATTGAAATAGAAAACAGAAAAACAGTATTAAAAAATCAATGAAACTAAGAGTTGGTGTTTTGAAAAAAATCAGCAAAGTTGACAAACCCTTAGCTAAATTAACTAAGAAAAAGATAGAGAAGACTCAAATAAAAATCAGATATGAGAGACATTACAACTTATGCCACAGAAATAAAAAGGATCACAAGAGACTTTTTTTGAGAGAGAGAGTATGAGCAGGGGTGAGGGGCAGAGGGAGAGAGAGAATCTTAAGTAGGCTCCATGCCTACCGTGGAGCCTGACGCAGAACTTGATCTCACTACCCTGAGATCATGATTTGAGCTGAAATCAAGAGTCAGACACTTAACTGACTGAGCCACACAGGCACCCTGATCACAGAGACTTCTATGAATAATTATACAACAACAAATTGGATAACCTAGAAGAAATGGGTAAATTCCTAGAAACATACAAACTACCAAGACTGAATCATGAAGAAATAAAAAATCTAAACAGATCTATAAATAGTAAGGAGATTGAATCAGTAATCAAAAAACTCCCAACAGGGGTGCCTGGGTGGCTCAGTTGGTTAAGCATCTGCCTTCGGCTCAGGTCATGATCTCAGGGTCCTGGGATTGAGTCCCACATCCAGCTCTCTGCTCAGTGGAGAGCCTGCTTCTCCCTCTCCCTCTGCCTGCCACTCCCCCTGCTTGTGCACTCTCTTGCTCTCTCGCTGTCAAGTAAATAAATAAAATCTTAAAAAAACAAAACTCCCAACAACAACAACAAAAAGCCAGGACCAGATGGCTTTGCAGGATAATTCTACCAAATATTTAAAGAAAAATTAACACCAATCCTCCTCAAACTTTTCCAAAAAGTTGAAGAGGAGAGAATATTTCCAGCATAACCTTGACACCAAAACAAAACACAGACACAAGAAAACTACAGAACAATAT